TTTTTCGTCGTCGTCTCCAGTGGCGGTCGTCAAAGCGAGACCCGCAGCCTCCTGGTTGGGTTCTTTGGCGGTCATACGGCTCGAGTCCACCATGTCACTCTTGATTGGCGCTACTTCGGGCGTGACAACGTCGGCGGCGGCAAATTCCGTCTCGATGGCTTCGCGATCGTCGATCCGTGACGCATCTGAAATCTCGCCATCCGCTGCCGCATCCGCGATACCTGGTGAGGTGTCGAGCACCGCGTCTGCCGGTGCATCGTCGGCATTGAAAGCCACTGCGTCGGATGGTGATACAGCGGGGGCTTCTTGCGCTGCCGCAGGTGCGGGCTTTGTGGCGACACTTGGCATTGGCAATGGCGCCGCTGATGCCGTCAGGTACTGGAACGGAACCATCGTGACTTCCGTGCCCGTGTCCAGCAAGACGTCGTAGCACCCGTTGGTCAAACAGCGCGCAATGATACCGTCTTGGCCGTCCATGGCGACCCGAGCGTTGGCTGCAAAGACGGCAGTGACATCCGGACACCGCCGCAAGAGATGGATGCTGTCTTCGTCCAACTGTTCTTGGACGACGCCGTTTTCGAAGTGAACATCGTAGCGTGCCGATGTCGGCTCGACGTACACTTGCGCAATGACACCAGGAATGTACCGCGTGCGCCCGCGACACCGCGCTTCGATGATGTCACCAAGATGCCACAGCGGAATGTACTCGTGGGGCGGCCACGTCATCTGTTCGATCTGATCCGGGGATACGCCAACTTCCTTCTCCCCTGTGTCGAATTCAATATCGTACGTGCCGTTGAGGCGGCAGCGCAGGACGACGCCCGTCTCGACTTGCAGAGACCCGTTCACGCGCACTTGAACGCGTTGGTGACGCTCAAAGGTCGCTACGGCCTTTCTCGGGGATTCGCTGCGGACATCTTCGCACTTGGTCGGCGACGGCTCTGGTGACGGCGATGCCGTCGTGAACGCGTGTGACGGCTCCGGTGGCGGTGCTAGCTCAATGCTGGCCGTGTGTGTTGTCGGCGGCAATAATGCGTCTTCGTTCGTGGTCTTCTCGACGCGGGGCGTTGGTGGACGCAGCAGCGGTACGAGGGGGTGACCGTCAAAGCTTCAAGAGCTCGTGGCGAAACAGCAGCCTCGGGGGGTGTTCTCTCCAGCTCGATGGGCCCTGGTCCGGGATCGTCGCCAATGTCTTGCACGAGCGGCCCGGGCGGACCTTTTCGTCGGCGCATTCGCTCGGGCCCAATGAAGGTCTCTTCGTTGCCAGCCTCAAAACGAACGTCGTAGGAGCCATCAAGGCGGCAGCGAGTGACGACACCGGGTGCGTACTCTTGTATACCTTCGGCCTGGGCCTCGACAGCGTCGCCGTCGTCAAACGCTCGAGCACAACGACAGCACGGATGTGGTCGCGATGGATGTTGACTTCTTGCTCGCCATCGTCGTACAGAATGTCATAGTGCCCCGTAAGGCGCAGCTTATTGACCGTACCACGATAGTACTTGGATCGGCCTTTGTAGCGTGCTTCGACCGTTTGGCCAAGCGAAAAGACCCACTCGGGAAGAACCATGGGGCGAAGGCATTCCTGAGGCACCTCACTTGCGACCTCGCCGCTATCGTAGGCGACGTCGTAGACGTACCCAGCAGCCCCAAACTTGGACGTGGCGTGGACAACGCGTGCAGGGTAAAAGGCAGTTTTGCCTGGTGGTCGTGCCTCGACGCAGTCACCTTCGTGAAAGATGCGACGGACCTTGACCGGCGAGAGCGCGGCAACCAGACCGGCGGTCGGCTGCAGGCGTATCCAGTCGATCGGAACTCGTGACTCGTGCTCGCCGTCGTTGTAGTCGATGTCGTAGCAGCGTTGGTCCGGGTATGTCGCGGCAATCACGCCAGGATAGTAGCGTGCACCGCCGTTGAAGCGGACGCGCACCTTGGTGCCAACGGGAAAGAGCTCGATGACGGGCTGCTTGTTGGCAATTGGTGTAAAGATACCGCGCTCGCCAAAGACAATCTCGGGCAAGATGGACGCCGGTGTGACCGGCCGTACCTCGGAAACGGGCATCGACCGGGGTGTCGTCGCCCGGGGCAGAACCGACTCTGTCGAGCGGCTTGATTCGATGGGTCGGGGTGTCGTGCTTGACGACAAGGCTTGCGCGGTCGTTCCAAGGGACGTCTCGGCCTTCTCGATCATCCGGTGCAACTTGTCTGCGAAACTGATTCGGTTGAGCGCCGACGCATCCGACGACGACGGTCGAGGTCCGTCGTCCTCTTTTGGCTGAAAGAGCTCGGACGCAAGAGTCTTCAACTCCGCCGGGGGCACGCGTGGTGTCGACTTTTCACTCCACTTGGCCCCGCTCGTCGGTGTCGTCGTTTGCGGGCGCGCCGTTGGCAAGGTGTCGAACACTAGAGGCTGGAGCTTGGACGACGAGTGCGGCCGTGTCAGTAGTATGTCAGGGTCCGACGGCACCGGCGTCGATGTCACCACGGTCGGTGCCATGAACGCTGGTTTTGCAGGTGGTGGAGCTAACGTCGAGGCCGCCGTCGACGGCTTTACCTTGCGTCCCAGTGGCGTGGATGCCGGGTCGAAGCCATACGTTTCGAGTAGCTTCTTCTCGCGCGTGACGACGTTCTTGTCCTTTTTTGGAACGCTGCGCGCCGTGGCTCGGCCCTTGGCTGTCGGTGTTGGTGTCTTGATCGGCTTCCTCGACTTTGGCGTTGCTGTCGCAGCTTTCTTGTCATCGTCGAGGATCACGCGCGCGGTCTGTCGCACACGGTTGCTCGGGCTCTGAATGCTCGCGATCGCGAGCTCTCGCGTGGCGAGCACCGAGTACTTGAGGATGCCTTCGTGCGACGGGTACTTGGCCATGACAATCGAGAGGTCTGAGATCGCATCCGATTGGCGCAAGAGCTGCGCCGTCGCCTTGTTCATCGAGAGAAGGCTAGTCAAATCCATGTTAATAAGCACCAACAGAGATATCCTACCAGAGCACGAGGGAGGAGATGGCGCACGACACCTTCTTGTCGTCAAGCTTGAGGCTCTTGCGCAGCACTTGTACAAGAGCCTGGAGCAGGCCGCCGTCGTCTCCCTGAAGCTCGACGATGGCCGCCGCCGCCCGTGCGCCACCCCGGTCGCAGAGCTCGAGGAGCACTACGCCGTCTTTAGCGATAGACGCCAGCGCCACGTACCTTCGCAAGCGTAAAACTGCACTTGGCGGGTATTCGCGTTGATCTCCAAGTGGCTCAAAATCGCCTTGGTGACCATCGGGACAATGTTGTGTTCGAGCATGATCGCGACCGAGTTGACATTGAGCTGGCCCAATGCTGCGAGTGCCCCGCAACCCGATGCCTATTAAAGACATTCGAGTCGTGCTCTCTGTCGAGAGAGACTCTACCTGAACAATCGGGTCGTCGGGAAAGGACGTAAGGGCACCGGCAATCGCGGCAATCGCACCGTTCTGGACAAAGACGTGGCAGCTCTCGAACGAGAGGTGGCACATTTTGCGCAAGAGCACAAAGCCGTAGCACTGCAGCACCGAGTAGAGACTATGGGACCGAATGATATGCAACAGAATCGTCTCGCCGGCTTTGAAATGAAAGTAGTCGGCCGTCACTTGCGGCGCGGTGCGCAGGAGCTTGAGCAAGGTCGAGAGTGCCTTCTTCTACACGTCATTTTCATCGTATGTATATAAACCGTCGACGGCGGGTACCACAGAGTGCACGTCGGCATGGATCGAAAAAAGGTTGTCGAGCACGACTTGGATCTGCGACTGATGGCCCAGGAGCTGCTCCTCGGTACGTAGCACCATCGGCGGCGGCCCCGACTCGGTCTCGTCTTGCGAGCCGTACCCTTCGAGCGACGTCCGCTTCGTGGCATTCGACGAGGACGGCGTGGCTTTGAGGCGCGACGTCGGCGACGTCATCGGTGGCGCCTGGTACAACGATGTGGGTTCTTTCGCCATCGGTCGAAGGCGGTCGGCGTCAACGTCGCACTCCATCTGTCCGTTCTCGTAGGCAATGTCGTACTGATAGCTCGCGTTCTCGATGCGGCGCTTGCTCGGGGTGCTCGTCACGGGCGCGGCTTGGCGCAGCGACATGACCTTGCCGCGCTTCCACTTGCCGACCGTCTCTTGTGCCACGTCGACGAGCTGGCCGACGCTGAAGGCGGCGCAGGCCTTCGCCTTGGCTGTCGACGGCGTCGCGCGGCCCAATGTCTTGGTCGCGTGCTTCTTCATCATGCTCCGGGGACCTTCAAATCGCAGGATGGGCCGCGGAAAAAATCCGCGTCGACGACCCTTCGGGCGCGCGTATTGTATTACCTTGTGCTTTGTATACACAGAGCTTCGATTTCTTTGCCCACCCCGAGCCCTCGGAGGCGAAGCGACACTTTGGATCGACTTTGGGCCAATGAGCGCGTCGCACCAATCGTATGCGCGATACGGTGGTCTACACGCGTTTGATTGGTGTGACGCGCTCACGTCATGTAGTCCGGCTCCATCATCACGACGACGGCGAGAATCGTTTGTTAGTTTGGCTGTCTACGGGTACTTACTTGAACACTTGTAGCTACCGGTAGGGCAGCCGCAGCGTCTATTCTTGATGGCGCATCACAGGTACTAGTAGGAGAAGACGAGCGACCATGGGCACACTGTCTGGCCCATCGTTTCAAACACAATGCAGTGTTTTAAACAGGTCTGGACCAGTGCACGGTTTCAATCAAGGTATATTTTGCCCTTGGTTCCAACGTGCGGAGCCTCAGTTGTCAGTAAAGGCAAAAAGCTCATTCCAAGCGAAAGCCGCAAGGAAGAGGATGGAGCGCAACAGAGACAGCTTGACGAACTGTGGTGGTGGCCAAACGGGCTGACGTACTTGGAATATCTCGCTTTATGTATGTACAAAGCGTAGTTCGAAGTCAATGGATGAATGTAGGTTTTGGTGTAGGTTTTGTAGACCGTGAAGGAGTGTAGGCTCTCGAATGCATGGCATGCGTCCATCATATCTTCCCCACTGACTCGGAATCGAAGAGCCCTCCAATGGCGCCCAACTTGATCGACTTGCGCTGGTCGCACGACCCGCGAACGCCCGACGCCGCTCTCAGCCAGCTCCGCGCCGACTGCGCCGCGCTGGGCATCCAGGCGTTCGACATGTACGGCGATTATGCGAACGATGCGTCGTGGCTGCAGCGCTTCCAGGCCGAAGTGGCCGCGCGTTTGGGCTTCAACCGCGCCCTCTTTGTACCGTCGGGCGTCATGGCCCAGAACATTGCGCTCAAGGTCTACGAGGAAACGTCCGGTCGTCACTCGTTCGCTGCTCGGTACAACTCGCACTTGTTCTTGCACGAGCACGACGCGTACAAGCATGTGCTCCACCTCGACGCGCGCGTGCTGCCCGCGAGCGCCGCCGACGTGCAAGCCGCCGCTACGTTCAACGACGTCAAAGCCATTCTCGAGAGCGACGACCTACCCGCCGTGCTCTTCCTCGAGCTGCCCGAGCGCGAGATTGGCGGCAAATGCATTCCCTTTGACGACCTGGTCCGCATCTCGGAGGCTGTTCGCGCCAAGGGCATCGCTCTGCACATGGATGGCGCGCGCCTATGGGAAGGTGCGGTCGCCACGACGATCTTATAGGCATGATGCTATGTGCTCTGTAGCGGAAGCCAACTACGCGGCCCACGGCCACTCGCTCCACGACGTGACGGCGCTCTTTGACTCGGTGTACGTCTCGTTCTACAAGGGTCTCGGTGCCATCACGGGTGCCATGCTCCTCGGCTCGAATGACTTCATCGACGCGTCGAAAGTGTGGCTCCGGCGCTTTGGCGGCAACCTCTACTCGCAGCTGCCGTACGCTGCGTCGTCGTGGGCCGGGTTCCGCGCGTTCCCTGCGTCCGTGTTTGCCGCGCGTCGGCTGCAGTTGCGAACCGTCGTGGCCGCGGTCTCGGCGGCCGTCCCGTCGCACGTTGTTCCTTTGATCCGCCCGTGCCAGAAGTTCCGCTCGTGCACGTGCACTTGTTTGGCCACTTGGACGACATCAAGCGCGCGCAAGAGATGGCCGAGGCAGCGAGCGGCGTCCGGTGCTTTGTCATGACACGCCCGTTCCGCACTGGCGCCGGCATCGTCGTCACCAACCGCTACTACTTTGAAATGAACATGGTTGGCGGCATATTCGTGAAACATGATGATGCTGACAAGAACGATCGTCTGTAGGGCGTGTGGAACCTCTCGATCCCCGTCGAGACGTGGGTGAAGGGCTGGACGGCGTTTGCGGCAGCGATGGCCGACGTCACGGCGGTCCACTCGTAGATCGAGATCGATTCGTCGTCGTCGTCGTCGTACCAGTATGCGAAGCATATCCCCTTGGCAAATACCTTTTCAATTGTTGTGTTTTGCGGCCCAACTGCAGATGAGACCCTGTCCGATGTGCATGCTCTTTCCATGCATCATACGTCGTCGACGTCCAGACAATCGCACTCGCACGCACGACTGGATCACTACTGGATCGAGTACCTTGGAAACCGACCAAAGACCCTGCTTCGTCGGCCGTTGTTGTTGTTGAATTCGGTCGTCGTCATAACTAGTCAGTAGTTTCGAGTGATGGACGGAGATGCAAGAAGAGCAATCTCGACGTCCTATAAATACGCCATGCCATCATCATCATCGCTATTCTCGGTCCCACGAACGGTGCAAGCCATCTGCGATGGGCACGGCGAGCTCGCGGTCTGCGCTCTCGGCGCAGGACGGGCCCGTGCAGAAGCTCACGTGTGCTGAACTAGCGACGTTTGTCAAGGATCTCGGGCCTGAGTTTGTGCCGTACAGTGACATGCTTCTCGCCCAGGACATTGATAGCACTCGTCTCATGGCGCTCTCGGAAGCCGACCTCATGGCGGCCTGCCACGTCAAGGACCCGAGCCACGTCACGACGATGCTATACCATCTCAAGCAGCTCAAGGCACCCGCAGCGCTGACACGAAGTAGCTCCAGCCGCACGCTCGCCAAGCCCAAGCGACGATCGGTCGGTCGTGACGACGCGACAACGCAAGCCGCCGAGGACGCCCGCGCCGCCGTGCAGCAAATGGTACTTGCGAGCATCGAGTGCGCACCGCTGCAACGCGAGCTATCCTGCGAGACGTTTGTGACGCCGATGGAGCCGCATGAGAACAACGCACCGATCTCGCCCGCCAAGGCGCTGCCGCCGTTGGTGCACAAGCCCGAGCTCCCGCCCAAAGCCGATGAAAACGTAATCGCTGACACGATATCATCCAGCTTGGGCGGGCAGCGTGCGTGTCTGGTGCCGCCTCTGGACAGAGAGACCCCGTCGATAGCGCAGGCGCACACGGAGCCAACTCAAGAGGCTACTGACGCCGCCAGGGCGTCGTGGTCCGCATCGTCGCTACCACGCACAGCCGAGACGAATACGGCACTCAATGTTGCGTCGCCGCCACCGACCGTACATGCGCCTTTGTGGCAGGCTGCATAATCCGCTTGTACATAGCTGCCGAGTCGAAGCAGCGTCCCCACGTCGCGCGAGGCTGACATGTCGCCCATGGCCTCAACCAAGTTTGACATCGCGCACCCATCCGCCTTGGACACGACGGTGCGACGTCGCCGAGACGAATATCAACGGCGATGCGTCGGTTGAACGTTGCAGTAGGTCCGTCGGAGCTCGTCCAGTCGGCGCCACTCGTTGGATCTTTCGCACAGTGCCGTCGCGGTGCCAACGACTCGCTTATGCAGTGCATGATCGTAACACCTGGTGCATGTAGGCGCAAGACGGTCACCCGACGGCAAAACCGCCCGTAGGGATATTATCCACGTTTCCTAATCACACATATACTACGACGCGTTCGCAGGACAACGACGACGGCGACGAAGACGACATTGTGCACCCGACCATGCTGGCGGCAACGGCGGCCACGCGCGGACTTCGGCCCGTCATGTCGATCCAGAGCATGGTGCGCGACCACTTTGACGATATTGTGAGTGTACCGAGCGTCGCGTTCGACCCGAACCTCGACCACTACGACGCGTACTTTTCGTACGCGGTTGGCAAAGACAGCGCGAGTCGCAGCGTCCGCGAGCGCATCGCGCGCGCGCACAAGCTCTTGACGGACAAGTACATCTTCACCTACTCTGTGCTGTATGCCAACGAAATGGCATGTAGCGGTATTGTCGTGTGGTACGACGCCGAGAAGAGCGCGACCGACAATGCGCTCATTCAGCAAGGCCTCAGCCACGCGTCGGTCGTCGTCGTGTTTGTAACTCGGCATTACATGAACCTCGTCAACAGCGACGGCCAGCTCGAGAGCTGTCAGTACGAGTTCTCGCTCGCGCTCTATACCAAGACGGTCGAGCGCATGATTTTCATTGTGCTCGAAGACGAAATGAAGCGCTACGTACCACCGGCACGCGATAGAGGCCTTTAAAATGACACCAAATGTCGTGTAGGACTGTCTCTCGGGCGAGTTTCGCATCATTATTGGCGACCAAGAGTGCATGGACTTTACGAACGACGCGTACTACGACGACGCGTGCGACGAGCTCACAGAGAAGATCGTCGAACTCCAACGACTGCCCCAAAAGCCGGTCGTGGACGCAACGTCAATAGAAACCATGGCGGTGAGCCCGCTCATGACGCGGCTCAAGCAAGATCAGCAGCCGTGGGACGTGAGCGAGCGCGTTCTCAAGCGCCCCATTGGACTCGCGATGGCGTCACCGGTTTACGCCGACAAGATGCTGGCCAAAGGCATCTTACCCGTCATGGTGCACTTTGTCAAGCTCGACCAGAGCGACGAAGGTTCGACCTATTGTCCTATAATGTGTAGACACATTAGCATTAGAGGTGCCGCGGGAAGCCGAGCTTGCGATTCTACTGCTGAAGATCCTCGCCCGCAGCAGCGGCGTGCTTCGCCGCAAGATCTTGCTCGCGATCCAAGACATGTCTCTCCTCACGTCCTTTACAGCTTACCTCACCGTACACCGCGTGGTTGCCTTTCGATCTATGATCCTTTCTCTTTCGGTAGGTTGGCGAAGGCTTCACGAAGGAGCACATGGCCGGGCTCATCCGGAACCTCTTTGTCGTCGGCGGCATCAAAGTCTTTGATAAAAGCGACAGCTTCAAGCAAACGATCGCCGCGCTCCTCAAGATCCTTGGCACCGGCACCATGCTGCAGCAAGTACATACTCTCATCCATGCGTGCTGGTGATGTACCACGCAATAATGTAGTACGAAGCGGGCGCCGCGCTCTGTGCCATTTCGCTCAACCGCGAGTACCAACCACTGCTCGTGGAGGAGAGCGCGATTCCGATATGCATGCGCAAGCTCACAACGAGTGCGACGCACGAGACCGTGCGTGACAAGGCTGCGCTCGTCCTCCGGTATCTCTCGGGCACCGAAGACAACCAGCGCGAGATCGGTTCCGAGGGCGGCATTGTCGCGTTTCTCAATCTCTTAAAGTCAGGCACCCACTCCCAGCGCGGTGCGCACGCTTGTCGTGGCGCCGCGTATCGCTGATAATGGTTGTAGATACCAGCGCCGCGGCGCTCAACTGGCTTATGGAGTGTGCTGAGAACCGCAGCCGGCTCGTCAAGGAAAATGGGATCCCCACGCTGCTCAACTATGTCGTGCGCGGACGCAAGGTCCGCATACTGCGTCGCATTATCCGTCTGACATTCGACTAGTTTGTACGGCAGCAAACCCTAAGCGCGCTCAGCAAACTCGCACCCCACGCCGAGTACCAGATTCCGTTGGCCAAGGCCGGGCTTCTCGGTGCGCACGCTCCATCTGGGCGCTGAAAGTTCATTGCTTTTTAGGTCCTTGCGTAGCGATCCTCGGCGTCGGCAACGACAGCCAAAAGACCGCGGCGTGCATCGTTCTCGCGGCACTCGCCGCGACGGATCTGCTTGTCAAGATGAAGGATGCGATCGGACCTGTTGTCAACCTCTACTGCGAAGGCACTGTACCTCAAAAGAAGGCGGCCAAGATCGTGCTCGAAAAGCTCAGTCGACACAAGCCGTTCAAAGAACAGATCGTCGCACTTGTAAAAGAAGGTAGGTCGGTTGCTTCTTTCGCGACACTCATGGCTTGATAGAGTCGCTCATGTTGCATTGAGTTGCTGCGTAAACTTACGGATTCAAAAACACGTCGAGTTTCTTCAAGACCAAGACGCCACCGCTACAATATACTAGTAGTAGAGGAAGCAAAGCGGGGCACCGACACAACGTAGCAGCACACGGACTGTAGTTTTTGTACAGGGTGAGTTGTTGGTGGCAGAGCTATGACCTACGACTCTTGCTCTCACCCAAATTCCTGGCTCTCTAGCCTTGCACAAAAGACTACACGCCCAAGTATGCTACCAACGGAGCTACACCAGTTTGAACCCTGAGGATAGCGGGATCCGCAACAGGCTCGTTTGTTCTTGGGTGACTGGGGTCATGTCTTGTCAACACGCCGTTGGCCGTTGAGAACACGCACACCAACTGCCTCATTTACTTCAAAGTGTCGAGCCGGTGGTCTTGATGATGACTTCGCGTCATGGGTCGCCGCGGATCTCGAGTGCTCTTCGCTCGAGACTTGAGGCAATCGTTGGCTTGCGATGTGGCCTTTTCACATAGACGTCGTCGATCGCGATGGGTACGAAATCGCCACGAATGATAATCCTTGGTGCTTAGATATGATCCTGAGAGTGGGCACCGTCGGGTACCTGGCGCCATCGCACGCTGGGGTGTAGCTGCCGCCTCGACCGGGATCAGGGGCAACATGCAAAACTAGATCATCGCGGCCACATGTTGGCTGGCGTCGTTGAGCGGTCGCCTACCGGTACTTCGTCGCAGGCTGGTTGTCGTTGGGGCGCGAGCGCTGACACAAATGGAAAGACTTTGTCGAGTGCGTGTGTCCACGTCCGGCTCTTTGAACACGCCATGATTAGCACCGTTTCCCGGGGTGGTGTCGCCGCCCTTGTCCTTGTGCGGGCGCTTCGCGGCGTCGCTGCACTGCCTTGGCCTTGGAAATAGCCCGCTTTCTCTTGTTGTGCGCATGGCTCTGGTTGCAAGCGCCAATCTGGATCGCACTGCTGCTGGTACACTCTTCTCCGAGCTGCAGCTTGAGCAGCTCGCAGCGCAGTCGTTTGTGTGTTGCAAAGAACGGGTCGAGTGGGCTTCGTATGTTATGTCGACGTTGACATTTAAGGGCGCATGTGACGGGTTCTTGGACATGTTGTCTTTTGAAAATCTCGCGGCAAGTGATGACATCTCCAATGATGTGCTTTTCCTAATGGTATAGGCCAGGCAGCTAGGTTGGGCTCATCGCCTCTGACAGGGCGAGACGCCATTGTGAGAGTATCGTTGTGGAAGCAAACCCAGACAACGTGACAACACACAGACCGTAGCAGAGAATGAGGCGAGTCCATGTTGACAAAGCTATTACCTATGACTCTAGTTTTCAACCTACTCCTGCTCTGCGCACGCTCTCTAGCCCTGCATTAAAGACTAGACACGCAAAAGCATGCTACCAACGGAGCTGCACCAGGTCGGATCTTGAGGGTAGCATGGACCATCCCAGAGTCGTTCGTCCTTGATCGGCGGGGTCATGTCGTGTCGACACGGCGTCGTTGGCACACACGGCAACCGTTTTTACTACCTCAAGGCCTTGTGTTGTGCATCATGGTCTTGTGCGCTAAGATACTCGATGTTCGCCTCGTGATTGGTGGAATTGATTTTTCTCGGCCAATCAAAACGCGGTATGAGGGAAAGGCGGACGGCGCTGCGTGCATCTCTGCAGCCACGTCAGCCGCGCGCGCCACTCAACTCCCCAGCCCACTTCGTTTTGAAGGCGGTCGGGTGCTTCGTCATCAAGGTCGTTGACGCCACAAGAACCTTCGGCGGCCCCCCTACATGTCGCGCGACACTGGATTCTCCACGCCGTTGATTGGCCGATGCGGGCGGTGGGACATGCCGCAGCCGAGTCATTTGGCCACGTTTCCCATACGATTATGGCCCGTGGTGGATTTCGAGAGATGCGTCCGTGATTGGCCGACGGCACGGCTTCAATAAAAATAGAGCTCGGCCCAGTCTCGAATTTGCCCTTTGGCGCTCGTATCAACAAATTCCTTCCAGCATGACGCACCACACGTACCACTTGGACACGCACCGCAAGAAGGTCGTGCTCGTCGGCTCGGGCAACTGGGGCTCGGCCATCGCGCGCATCGTCGGCGACAACATCACGGCCAACCCGCAGCTCTTTGAGCCCACGCTCAACATGTGGGTCTTTGAGGAGATGGTCAACGAGCGCAAGCTCACGGAAATCATCAACACGGAGCACGAGAACGTCAAGTATCTCCCGGGCTACAAGCTCCCGACCAACGTGGTCGCGGTCCCGGACCTCAAGGAGGCGACCAAGGGTGCGCATATTCTCATCTTTTGCGTGCCGCACCAGTTCCTCGGCCGCATGCTGCCGCAGATCAAGGAGCAGGGCCTCGAATCCGACTGCTGCGCTGTCTCGCTCATCAAGGGCATCGACTTCAACGACAACGGCGTCGTCCTCGTCTCCAACATCATCCGCGACGCGCTCAACATTGACTGCTCCGTGCTCATGGGTGCCAACGTCGCCAACGAGGTCGCGGCCGGCGACTTTTGCGAGTCGACGCTCGGCTGCTCGGGCATCCAGGAAGGCGCGCTCTTGCAGCACCTCTTCCACGCGCCGACGTTCCACGTCAACATTGCGATGGACCCGAACGGCGTCGAGCTCTGCGGCGCGCTCAAGAACGTCGTCGCGCTCGGTGCTGGCTTTTGCGACGGCCTCGGATACGGCGGCAACACCAAGGCCGCCATCATTCGTCTCGGCTTGATCGAGATGAAGAAGTTTTGCTACCGCTTCTTCGATGGCATCAAGGAAGACACGTTCTTTGAGAGCTGCGGCGTCGCGGATCTCATCACGACGTGCTTTGGCGGCCGCAACCGCAAGTGCGCCGAGCTCTTTGTCAAGGACCACGGCGTGACGTGGGAGACGCTCGAGAACACGGTGCTCAACGGCCAGAAGCTCCAGGGCACGTGGACGGCGAAGGAAGTGTTCCACATTCTCGACAAGACGAACGCGCTCAACGATTTTCCGCTCTTCGTCGCCATCTACCGCATTGCGTTCGAAGGCGCCAACCCCAAGACGATCACAACTCTCTAAGTTAAACACCACCACCCACAATCAATCAATTCATGCATCCACCCTCATATCGCATTCTGTTTCTTGTTGGCATTCGCGAGTCCCATGTACGACATGGGACTCCCGTTGCTGGTCGCGGACTGCGCGGCGACGAACTGCTTCCAGAAGAAACGATATTACTGCCGAGGTCATTCATTATTCCCATGCTGGATGTAGTACACGCTACTAGAATGGACATGTCGTCGCTGGCAAGGATCCATCGAGGTGCTTTGTACGATCGGCGACGTTGCGTGGTTGGTTTACAAGCGCCAGCAACCTTGGCAAGAGGCGTTAGAGGACCAGCAACACCAAATTTTGCGCCAGAGGCGCCTGGGCTTTCTGAGGAGGACCCTTTAACCCAAGGATGCACCGCTCGTCCTTGAATCAGCACGTGCCCTTGGATGAGAGCACAGCTGCAGCAGAGAATAATTTTTCTCTGTCTCCACGTGGTAACGAGCAACGCTGGAGGATTGCCATCTAGGGACATAATGATCGGGACTCATACGTAAAGAATTACCTTGTCGTCGCATCTCAACGTCATAGCACGATTACGCTAATACGAGTACGGTACGAAGTTTTGAAAGTGTCACCATGTCTGAACAAATTGCTTGAAAAGGCCGTCAGCCATTGCATGCATGGGCCGTTAACACTAAGCTTGAGTCTCCACCGCTTGAGTGACCAACGTCAATGTCAAGGCGTCGTACGTGTACCTACTGTTGCCGTCAACGGACGGACAAACTTTGTCCTTCAAGCACATCAAAATCACTTATCCGGATCGTACCGGTATCCCGATCAACTCAGAGCGTTGCTTCTCGAACAAGTGCATTGCGGCGTCGGGATGGCATCTTGCGGCGCATACACACACCCATCTGTCGGTGTCTGTTGGTGTCCGCCTCGTGCCCGCGAGTACTATAAATATAAGGATCTGTCTGTCCCGTGCATCCCAAGGTGAGTCTGGCTGCCGCGAGACTCGCCGAGCGACTTGAGCAAAAGATGAAAGGCGGCATGATCGATCGCATTGCCGACGCCATCGACCCTTCCACCCTACACTACTGTATTCCTCGGGTCAATACTCTCAATCCGATGGGATGTACTAGAATGCTTTTTGCCGTGGAGAAATTGTCGGTGGCCGATCAGACGAGCGAGACTCACATCATCGGAAAAGCACTGTATACTGGTAGAGAAACACGCGGCCCAGAAGCGTTGCAAGCGTCGCTGCAAAACAAGGGGCGCATCGTCGCACCGATAGAGTCGTCCTGACATCCGTGGCAGCGTCTCCTTCATTGCGACCGTCGGGACCCCATAGCAAAAGAGCCGACGGCTGTAAATAGCATTGCACATGTGCGCGCTGTTTTTATGTGACCGGCAACACAGCCAAACGATGGCCACGAAGCAGGACAAGCAGTCCACGGAGCAGAAGCGGGCGCTCGGGCTCCGCGTCGTCGCGCTGCGCCAGGACATCATCCGGCTCAATGCGAAGAAGGACCTCCTCGTGCGCATGGCCAAGCCGCGGGCGCTCGACATGCGGAGCCACGCGCTCAAGACCGTCCACGACTACATTCGGCTCTTCGCCAAGGGCATCAACCTCAGCGTGCCGTTTGACCATAACAAGCAAATCGATTTCCTGCATACGTGCATGGACCCGGACGTGCACACGATCTTTTACGACGAGTCCATCGGGCTCCACGGGCTCATCCAAAAGCTACGCCACGACACCAAGCTCTTTCCAGCCCACACGTTCAAAGCCACTTCGTACCAAGTGGTTGGAGACGGCGCCGCCGACTGCTGCATCGCCAAGGTCACCGGCGTCTTGGAGTACGTGCTCACGGACGCGGTCGTCGGCAACCTCTTTCAGCACGTCCCCGACGTGGAGCGACTCTTCCTCATTGGACAAGCCATGCAGCTCACGGTCTATTACACATTCTACTTTGGCGAGCATGGCAAGGTCACGCGCCTCGAGCGGTACGAAGACGTCATCATGGGCTACCGCCGCGTCGCGCCGAGCCTCTCCGACACAAGCCGCCTCTTGTATGAGGATTTATCCGCGCCTCGGCCACCCGTGATAGAACCGACAACCACCGCACAACGTCACGACACCGTCTAAGATTATTATGTAGTAATTCCCAATAGATTGAGTAGGCTGTCCCGTTGTATGCACTACTGGCGCCCCAGGTCCATGGACGTTATTCTAGACATTTTGTCTTCAAGGTCGTCACTCGGTGTTGCAGCAACACGCTGCGCTGTGATGGGTCGCGGGTTCGATCCCAGCAATACGCGCCTCGAGCTCGCGACGCCCCGAAGATCGCCTCTGACATTGATCGGCCCTGAGACAGTGCCCGTAGCCGCCAAAAAATGCTGCATTCGACGATGATGGGCCGCGCATCTTCACTCATTGTGTCGTTATCGCAAACAAGGGAATAAACTTATTTTATTCCCTTGTCGCAAATCACGCACTAATGGCACAGGTCCTCAGGCGGGTGGAATCGAGCGGCGGATGCGGCTGCGAGAACCGGGTATCGCCGCGTTGCCATGACGTAGTCCGATACAGACGGTGGCGTCGTCGCTACCGACAATATGAACGTGGCATGACATTATTGCTCACTGTCAACATTACCACCGAAATTGGCTGCAACTGCCAAGATCGAAATGGAAATCACTTTGTCCAACCATCCAATAACGACTGCAGCGTTCAGCAAGGACATGCATACCCATTTATGTATTTGATATCAGCCACCGAGACTATTGGAATACTACGGGATCGGGTGCTTCGTCATGGGCTTACAGTCCCGGTACTGCAGAGCTTCGTTCAAGTCCATTCCATCTCAGCAAGTGCAGTCGCGCTCAATTCACACTAGATACTGTATACCAGAAATAGTGTGTTACAGTTACAGTCGCACTTATGAAGACCGATGGGGGCGCACTTGCACGCTTGCCAGCATGGACGACCAAGGGGACGTGGACGCGCTGCTCGTGGCCCACGCTGAGAGCATTGCCGCCGTGCGCACGCTCGTCCGCGACGTGCTCACGCCCGATTTTGACGACGACATTTGGCTCATGCGCTTTGTCATGAGCAACGGCAGCCCCGCCGCCTGCGAAGAGCCGATCCGGGCGACGATCCACTGGCGCACCGAGCGTGCCGAGATACTTGGCCGCATCCGCGCCGGCGCCAAGGCGCCATGGCACGACGAGATCACGAAATACCAGGTAGAACGCTGCATGCTGTCGGCGCATTTTGAGTCCTAGCGTAGGTGGTCGGCGACCACAAGTACACGGCGCGGGGCGAGCCCCTCTTTTATGTGCGCGTCGGGCTCTGCAACGCCAAGTCGCTCTTGCGCAACGTCGCCTACAACGACATTCTCGAGTACATGCTCTTGTCACGCGAGAGCATGGTCGCGTACCTCGAGGCGACGACGCGTGCGACGCGGCGGCTCGTCAAGGGGATCAATGTGCTCGACTTTGCCGGGTTTTCGCTCACGACCAAGTCGGACCCGCGCTTCACCAAGCTCCTTGGCGAATGCAGTCAGCTCGCAGAGACCATGTACCCGCAAATGGTCGGCCGCTCGATCCTCCTCAACACGCCGTCGCTCTTGTCGTGGATGTTTCGCGTCATCAAGCCGTGGCTCAACCCCGCGACGCTGGCCAACGTTGTCGTGTGCCCCGGCGGGACGGCGGTGGCGTCCTGCCCGTACCTCTCGGCGTACTTGAAGCTCGACGACGTGCCCACGTTCCTTGGCGGCCGCTGCGTATGCGACGGCAACGGGTGCATTGGCAATATCCCCAACTCACAGACGCGGCCGCTCCTGGAATATGACGCCGACGGCCGCGCGACGCTTCTCGCCGCCGCGCGCGCGACCGAGCGCATCGAAGTCGCAGTCCGAGCCGGGCGGCGGCTTCTCTACGACGTCGGTGTGCCGGGCAAACCCGTCGATGTCGCCGTGACGTTCCGACCTCTCGATGCCGGCCAGGATGGCATCGTCGTGATGCTCTTTCAGCAGCGCCTCGGCCACACCACCGAGCTGCACCACGACGCATGGGACGCGACTAGCGACGGCGTCGTCACGATTGCGTTCAGCAATACGGCGTACTATGGCAGTCGGGCGGTTCAGTACCGCACCGAAGTCGTTGTCGTCGTCGACACCGCAGAGAGAGCGACCGCGTAGCAATACCTTACAAATACATCGTACCCTACACGACTCCGCATCCTCTGGCATCGAGCGGTTCGATGTTTGCTCGAAAAATAGTTGACGGAGTGCTCGATTGAAAGATCCATTTTTTGCGTGAAGAGGCGCAGCCATGGCCGAGACAGAGGCAGCCGCGACGAGCTCGTCCAAGAATGCACCGGTCATCAAGATCTACATGCCCACGTACATCATGGCGCCGACCGAAGACGAAAAGTACGGTCTCCGAATGACCAGGCTGCCTCATGCCGCGCCTGCTAGGTTTCGGCGGCGCAAGGTGTCGGGCATTGTCGCCGAGTGTCTCCAGCGCGAGCTGGACACGAAAGAGTACGACGAAGAGGACGCCAAGCAGTGGTCGACGGCGATCGCAGACGCGGTCAAGAACCGCATTCGAGGTAGCCTTTCTACGGCATGTACAACCCGGTGCGAGGGGCTGTGTAGCCGAGTGCAGCTTCTCGCGCTACAAGATCATTGTACAAGCTTTTGTGGGCCAGCAAAAACTCCAGGACGTTCGCATCGCGTCGCGCTGCCTCTGGGACAACGACTACGACAACCACGCGTCGGCCGAGTTTCACAATGTACAGAGTTGTCATCAACGACAGCACTCACGACAGGCTAGGAGACGATTTGGGCCACGTGCATTGTCTTCGGTCTGTATTCGGACTAAGAACTCGCCGCGCGCAGTTGTGTCATAGCAAGGCATAAGATATATAGTGTACATGAGCTCTGGACATTATTGTACACGGATGTATGTACGCGGCGACATACTACTATTGTCGTGTCAAAAGCGCACGGCCGGCGAGCCGGCACGCCTACGCTCGATCAGCGTTGCACGCGCACGCTTGGCCTCACCGATGACCGTGCGGATCGGGAAAGAGTCAGGTGGGCAGCGCTGCGCACCTTGACATGTCCTCGCCACCTCACCGCGCAATGCAGTCGTGACGCGACGACGTAGTAATGATAGCTCGCACCAATCTTAACCGAGTCAGGGAAGATGAATCATACGCCTGACTCTGCGTCAACAATTGAACGGTTGGTACTAGGATTCCGGCAAGAGTAGCTTGATACGGACGCCAAGCTACTTCTCGTCTCTCGGTCTCTGTCGGCTTCAGGCCAAGGCGATATATTGTAGGTATCTAAGTCACTAGCATAGAGGAGGGGTGTCTTAATTATACGGGCTTTTTGCTCAAAACTACTTATAAAATACGGCGTCGCGCGGCGCCTCATGCGGCTTGGAGCACGTCCTTGGAGATTTGGAGGTCCATGTCTTCTTCGTGTGTACACAGCGTGTGGAGGTTGTCGAGGAGGAGGCGCACTTCCATCTTGAGCTCGATCGCGTTCGGGTACGTAATGAGCTTGAGCGACTTGGCGTGGAACGACGCGTAGGACGACATTTTGAGGTTGATGAGCGCCTCGCGCTCGGTCGGGCCGTCACCGATCGAGATGATGTGCTTGGGCGTCGTTGTCGCGCTGTGGTTGTACACCTCGTGCTGGAACGCCTCGATCTTCCACTTCTTGGGCGCGCCAGGGTACAGCTCTTCGTACGTCGAGCGCGCCGAGACAACCTTGATCATGCTGTTGATGATCGGCAGCGTCCGCGGCATGAAGAGCGACGCCGAGAGCTCGACCCACCCCGTCTCAGCAGCGGTGATGATAACGACGCGGCCATACTTCATCGCGTTCTCCAAGAGCGCAATCACACACTCTTCGAGCTCCTCGAGCTGGAGCTTGACGTCGTCCGGGATGTGCGGCTTCTCGTTGACGTACTTTGGCCGCAGCCCGAGCTTGCCGACCCACGTGGACGCCAAGAGCGTGTCATCTACAGCCGCTCGTGTGAGCCATACGTCGTACGGTCGCGGCGCAGACGTACCCCAGTCGAGGAAGATGACCGTGTCGCTGTCGTGCATGGCCGGCGGCGGCGGCGTCGCCGTGGGCTCCGTGTACATTGCGCCGTTGGGAGCCATCTCGAGTTGGTGCGTGCGTGGGCGGAGGATGCTAGCGCGTCAGGACGATGAGCCTCTTGGCCATGCCAGCAAGCGTCTGCATACCTGGGTCGGCGGCTCCTTCGTCGGCAACGAGAAGTCGAGATGTGATGAGTAAGAAGCCTGGCCGCCTGCGAGACGTTTTTACCAAGGGCTGTAGCGTTTTTACATCGGCATACAAACTCCAAGTGGTGGCGGCAGTAATGTCAGATACGTTTAAAGAGGTTTTCCCTTGCCGAAACGCAGCGCGTGTCCCAGCTGGTGCCTGCAAGGTCCGGCGACATATGCATTCTGAGAGGTTTGCTTTTTTCACGTGCAAAAAACGGCATACGACACGCGAGAGACATGCGGCGGTTTCTCTTTTTATTGTGAGAGGGTTAAAGCATGCGTTAAACGAGGCTGGCCACGAGTACCGTTTGGACAGGCGACAACGACATCGCGTCGTGCGGCCTCCTCTGCCATCTCCAAAACGTACGTGGTGCTTTGGCGGCCTTGAGATCCACTCTGCCGAACGACCTCGTTCGACAACGAACGGGTTGCTCACGTCCAGAAAGGAGCCTCCTGATGTTGGTTGCATTCCAATGTCGCGTGCGCACGACCGCCTTTATGTGTAACAAAGGTGGCGTGCAGGCACTAATGAGCGCGCGCAACAACGAGTCGCCAAACAATTGAACCAGCGAGATTGCCGGCGTGACTTTGCCCTTTTAACCAGAGCACAGCAGCCACGCCAAAGCACTCGTGCATGACTGCTCGGTTTGCGACCGTTGCACTTGACCAAGAGCCAGTGCACCGTACAGTGCAGTAGCCGTCGCGATGAGTACCGTGTAAAGACGGAGAGTGGAGGAAGACGCATAGCCACCATTGACGAGGCTTCAATTCACCACGTAGTACAATGGACAGAGATGGTGCGAACTGCGTTATCACAGCATAGGCGCTACCGACAGCATAGAACCTTCGCGCCTCGTAGAGTTGTCGGCTCACAATGACGGGCAAGTCCACAAGGAGCGTGCACTGTACTTGAAGTTGGTCGGTACGTATCGATTTTCACAGGTAAGGTCAAATTTCTCACAGCAATTCGCATCGGTGGGATATGAACGCCATGGGAGCGAATCACAACGCAGGAAAGTGGGCAATGGATCGCGTGACCCTGTCTTCAGTCGTCACGTGGTCGCCCATCAAGTCACATAGATGGTAAAAGATGCTGCATACGCCCCCACAAAAAGTGTGGTTGAGATTGCGATTGATGGATATACAATAGATCTTAGGTTGACGCCTCTGTGCATTAACGGGCTACCGCGTCGGCTCTGGAAAGAGCACCGAAACGGGAAAACCCCCACACGTAGTGAGTTGTTTTCGATGACGGGCAACCCCCACGCTGCGCTGTGCTGTCTCCTTAGCTGGGTTCTTTTGCAGCGGTGGGTAGTCGGCCTCGACTACACACTGGCGTCGCCACGGGCCCACCGCTGGCTACACGTCGCCACGATGGAGACTCCGGACGGCATCAACATCGACCTCGTGGAGCAGCAACTTGTCGTGCCCTTGACGCTCGTGCCGACGCGCGTCGAGCTGGAGATGCAAGACAGTACGTTTCTGCACGTGACGACGCGCGCGTTCAATGGCTCGGTGCCGGCTCCGACGCTGGTCGTGACGCCGGGGGACCACCTCGTCTTTGACGTCACCAACGATCTGGGGCCTGGCGCTGCCAACCACACGAGCCTCCACCTTCACGGCCTGGTAACGCACGTGGTGCTGATTCCTACTACGATTTCTGTGGTGCGTAGCACATTGGGCACGACGGCGTTGCGCTCGCGCCCGGCTCGAAACGCGTCTTCAAGTTCATTGTGCCATGGGACCACCCCTCGGGCACGTTTTGGTACCACCCTCACGTCCACGGTCTACTCAACGCACAGGTAACACGCGTCCTCTTCAGACGGAGATGGTATGGAGAAAGGTATACTTGCCCAGATTGGCGGGCTTCTCGCAGGTGCGCTCATCGTCTTGGACCGTCCTGGAGACTTGCCGTCGCAACTGAGCTCAAAAGCGACCACGTGATTCTCATCCAAGCCGTTTGTGCAAAAGACTGCGGTCATGGTCATGATGCTACAGCGCGCGCGATAGAAGGGCATGCGGCGACGGAGGAGGACCACTTGTCGCGGCATTTCAACGCACGCCTTGAGAGCAATTGCTCGGGCCTTCACGTACTCGTCAACGGGCTATCGGTGCCAACGATTGATGTGCAACCGCACGCATGGACGCGTCTTCGCTATATCAACGCGATCGCCAACAACTTGGTAGAAATTGCGCCGCCTGCCGCCAACTGCACGACACTGCTCTTGGCACGCGACGGAATCACATTGCACACGTGGTCGCCTGTGGTCGAGGCGATCGTCGTGCCGCCCGGCGGCCGCGCCGACGTATTGGTACGTCGCTGCACGGGTTGTATGCCCCATTTGATACGGTAGGTTCAATGTCCCCGACAAACCGAAGACATTACGATCGACATCGTCAAAGACCTCGCACGATCGCCCGAGCTCGGCCACCACCACCGCGTGCCGTCGCAGCGGCTTTTGCGCTTGCGAATCGCACCAGAGAGTGCTCTCGAGCATACGATTGTGACGGCGTCAGCATGGCCTCAGCCATTGCGCGTGAGCTTGCCGTCGTACATGATGACGCCACGAGCACTGCCACAAGCCTGCAACTACAACTATACCTTCATGGCCAACGACACTGCGATGCGTGGCTACGGCGTCAACGGCGAGGCCTTTTCGATGGCGAGTCGCGACAGCATCGTCGTTGGGTCGCCACAGCTATGGTGTGTGCGGATTGCTGCCCCCAGCGACGTCAATCATCCCTTTCATATCCACAATACGCACTTCCACGTGCTCGGTCAAGCAGGCTGGCGCGACACGATACCTCTGCTCCACGGGACTCTCCAAATATGGTACATTTGCTTTGTACTTCTTTGAGATGTAAGTCGACGTCACAGGTTTCGGCCGTCGGTTGCCGGGCCCACCATGACACACTGCCACATTGCTGCCCATGCGGATATGGGCATGGCTCGGGTTGTTGACGTTGTGCCGGAAACCATTTGAGGCGATTGGCCTCTGTTGTATGTGGCTCAAGATAGCTGCACGAATGCGGGGCTCTGCGAGACCAAGTTGATCAATTGAAGCTACCGGGTCCTTATATTAAACAGATGAACAAATTGACAGGCGAACATGCTGAGTTGCGTGTCTCGATGCACACATCTCGGAGCAAAGCACTTGTGTTTGGACAGTGCGCTGTCGGCCTCAACACGATCTCAACCTTTGGCGCGATAACATTGGCTCGTGACGATCGCCAGGCCAGCAGAGTACCGGTATACGGGTACCATGTATCGATCGGCAGGTGGCGAATCTTGATCCGGATCCGGTTTCGCCTTGGCGCCTCGCGGATCGTGGATTCCAACGACGAGAGAATATCCCGCGCCCACTATAGCCCGGTCATCAACGCAGGGGCATCGCCGCGCGCAACCAGCGTTGACAAGTGACGCGATCGTAACGACGCGCCTCCAAAAGGCGGCGTCGAAGCGTCGTCCAGCTTTCGAGCCAATCCCAGCGCATCGCCCTCTCGCGCCAAGGTAATGGGATCCATCGAATTCGAATGTTTTCGGTGGCGAGCTACAAGCAAAAGTATCTTTCTCATTTTGCATTGTCCCCGCTTCCGCTCACTCTACACATACGACCACGAACAAGCTGAAATGGCGTCAATGGTGACCACGGGATTTGTTCTCAAGCTCGCGGCAGACCTCAGTGTCATTCCGTCCATCTACATTATGCAACGCAACAAGCGGCATTTTGAACTGTTCATCGGGCTACTGCACGTCTTTGTCGCTGTCTGCTTCAATTGCGCGCAGCTCACGACAACGAACGAGCTCTTCCTCACAGTCGTGCAGTGGCACGCGATGCTCGAGGTGCTCTACGTCTCGTTCCTGTACTTGCTCTGCGTCCACTTGCTCGCACTACCGTACGAAAACGTCAACATTACGCTCCGGTACCTCGGCTTCGCGCTCGCGTGGATCGTCAAGGTCAAGGACGGCCAGTTCCGCCACACGCACTCGCTCCTCCTCGTGGCCGTGGCGTTCTCGGCCGTCGTGCTGCGTCGGCTCGTGGTCCCGGGCGCGCGCATGCTACCATTGCACCGCACCGAAGCGATGGTGGCGGCGCTGCTGGCGGCGTTTTGCACGGCCGTCTTTTTTCTGCACCCCAGTCTGCCCATCGCTCCGACCAACATCGAGAGCCTCTTTTATATCTGCCTCGGCGGCTTCTTCTTCGCGGGCTGGAAGAGCGTGCCGCCGCCCGAGCTCGCCAGTAAGAAGTTTGACGACTGCGACATTGTGTTTAGCGAGTACAACTAACAAAGTAAGTTGTCGTCTTGATCCTTTGCTAGCGCGAGACACACGGATGCACATGTTGTCACTTGTTCTTGTCGGGAAGCGGCGCGTCGTTGACGTCGGTGATGGCGTTGGATTCCAACCGCGCCATGTCGTGGCCATGCGCGTAGAACGACGCGCCCGACCCCTCGTGGGACCGAAAGAGGGGGTCGTGCCGCGCCTCCTTGCGCCAGCGAACGTCCGGGCTGTTGACGCAGTATTGGAAGCCGCAGTACGCCCCGAGTGCGAACGGCAACGGAACGATCAGCAGCAGCGGGTACATGGCCGGGTCAGTGAACCAGCCCATGATGTGGTGCGCGTGCAGCGGCTTCATGGTGCAAAATGCAAAGTGCGCTTTGACTTTCGAGCAACGGCGCAACGAGCGTTGGCCATTGTTTGCCTGGGACCCGGCGGCAGCGCGGAGACGAGCTTCCAGAAGCCCCCATTTCAGGTCGCAAAATCGGCTTGGAATCAGCTCGTTCGCGTCGAAAGAGCAATGCAATGGGCCGCTTGTGGCATCTCATTCAGCATGCACTCGAGTGTGCGCGCGATTCACTGATGGCCGAGACTGCCTTGTTGCGCTGGAGACGAGTCGCCTTGTCGGACGTTCATGCGACGAGGGTCTTTGTGCTTCGTATAGGGCTAATGCGTGGTGCCGAGGGCTACTGGAGGACGGCACTACGCCACCGTAGTCGTCGGTCCCGTATGTTAAATGGTTCCTTGGCTCGACCACGCCAACAGTCGGCGCAGGAGTCATTCGTGGAAGACCATCATTCCAGGATACAGTATCAGGATAAGAACCTCTTTCAACGCATATTGCATCTATTTAAACAGGTTTTTAGCTTGATACTTTCGCTGCAATCCTGCTCGATTGCGTTCAGGTCCCATTGCCTGGCGCCAGGATGGCAGTCTCACAGCTGCAGCCTTACGTGCTGTCCATGATTGGCGTGATCTTCCCGTCCATCGACGAGCTCGTCCAGCGCGGGATGCCGCCGCCGGCGTTCACCACGGCGCGCCATTGCCTTCGCCTGTCTTCCAGCGCTAGTGGACGTATGGCCCGCACGAGGCGTCGACGCTCCTCCAGAAAGGTCACGCCGCGTAATACGTCCAAACGCTGCGGTCTCTTGTCCGATTAGCGCTGACATTTGGCATGCGCTCGCGACGCGCCGCGCGAATACATACCGTCAAGCGCTTTGGCGAGACGGGCCACAGGTGCATGGTCGGTTTGCACCAGGATCTCTTCAACACGTCCAGATGCTTGATGCGAACAGCCTCCTCACCGTGGACGTCGTCGGCGACCATACGCGACTACAGTCGAGTATCGGTCGGTCGCCGCCATTGCGCCGCCGCACCAGCGGATTGCTGGCAGAGTGTTGGTGCGGAACGTGGGGGCGGTCCAGGGGGGGCGGTCAAGGGAAGAAAACACTATTTACTCCCTTGACGCGGTGCTCGTCGTGTGGCGAGGCTGAAGCATCCGCTTACCATGTAGTATTACGCGATGTAGTCGTGCAAGTGCAAGCCATAATGTGTCTTAGTCGATTCAAGGTGTGTAGTAGCATATGTACTAAACACTATATATAACTTTACAACATCATCGTTCTCTACTCTTCGTCGTCCTGGCTGTGCTTCTTCTTCTTCTTCTTCTTCTTCTCCGGCTCGTCGGCGCCGTCTTCCGCCTCGGCTTCGCGCTTGGCCTTCTTCTCCTTCTTCTCCTTCTTGGCCTTCTTTTCCTTCTTGGGCTCCTCGTCCGAGTCGGCCTTGACCTCCTCAATGACGGGCGTGATGGCCGCGACGGGCGCTGCCTGCTTCGAGTAGACGGCCGAGACGTCGGCGGGCGTGGCTTCGTTGACCTTGCCAAACTTGCCAATCTTGCCCTCCTTGACGAGGCCCTTGACCTTCTGGGCCATGGGGCCGAGGCCCCAGCGGCGCGGGTACGTGTCGCGTTCCATGATGACACGCTTGATCTTGGCGACGACGCCGTGGTCGCACGTGGCCATGACGGCCGTCGTCATCTGGGCGATACCAATCGCGATGGCTTCGCCCTTGGTCGTCATGAGCACGACCTCTTCGTTGACGTCAATGTCGTCGGCGAAGCGGAGGAGACCCGGGACCATAAACTTGGCGCCGTAGCAGACAGCGTTGACCGCCGAGTCCTTGACGACAATGCGCTTGTACGTCGTGAGGAGGACTTCGAGCGGGCGCACGATGCGGCGGAGGTAGCTCTCGTCTTTGTACGTGTCGAACGCGTACTGGGCATCAAGCACGTCGTGCATCGTGACCATCGTGTCGGCTTCGCCGAGGACACCCGAGCGCACACGGCGGAGTTCTTGCATGTGCGCGCCGACGCCAAGGACAAGACCCAAGTGGACGCAGAGCGTACGGATGTACGTGCCGGCTTCGCAGCTGACGTGGAAGACACCGAGGTGGCGCTCGTTGTCGTACTCGATGAGCTTGGACGAGTAGATGGTACGGATACGGAGCTGGCGCTTCACGGCCGAAATGAGCGGCGGGCGCTGGAAGAGCGCACCCGTGAGCGTCTCAATGGCGCGGGCCATCGTGGCCTGCGACTCGATGGCGCTGTGGAGGCGGACAATGGCCACGTACTCCTTACCGGCGCCCTGCTGCGACTTGACGAGGCGGGTCGCGCGGTCGACGCACACGATGAGGCAGCCCGTCACCTTGGGATCGAGCGTGCCCGAGTGGCCAGTTTTCTCGACGCGGAGGATGCGGCGGATCCAGGCCACGACTTCGTGCGACGACGGGTTCGCGGGCTTGTCGAGGTTGATGACACCATAGCGAATGTAGTCGTGGATGTTGCGCTTCAACGGCGTCGAGCCACTCGGGATCGGCGTGTAGTGGCCCGTGCGCACGTTGAGGTCCGAGTAGTTCTTGAGCAGCAGCGGCCACTTGGACGTGTCGAGCTTGGGCGTCGACGTCTCGGGCGCGATGAGGTCCGTCGCTTCCTTCTCCTTCTTGCGGAGCTTCTTGTCGGCCATGATGGTATGTAGCGGAATGAGGAGCTTGCGACCGAGCTCAAAAGCAGTGGCCAACGAGACCCGAACCTCCACCAACCAACCGAATGGCTCCATGGCCCAACTTCGACTTCGAGACTCGCAGGCTAATTTCACGCCATTTTAACGCGGACCGCACCGTACACGGCCTGCACGGCGCGTGTTGCAGGGTCCTGGTTGCTGCATACATGCCTTTGCCATCGCCATGGTGTCGAGGTGTTGCGAAAGCTGCCTGTCTCCTGCGTCCGGCGCGTCGTGCATGGCTGCCATCGAGACTATTGGTCTGGAAGTGTTTAGCGTACAAACATGCAGTTGTTGCGATGCTTGCGACGGCAGCGAAAGCAGGGCGATGCTAAGTATGCACTTGGCTGCACGAGAGGCATGGTCGATGCCGGAAGCCTGGTCTCTTTCTTGTCGAGAGGCACGATCGAGTCGATTCGTGCTGGCGTTTCGCAGTAAAGTTGCGTGTTTTGAACATGAAGCTTGAATATTGGTCCCACGCTCGACCAACTTCGAACTTCGAAGGACAGTTTGTTTTATTATTGAGCATCGTACACGTCGTATTTGTATGCGACTTTTAATGCACGAAAAAAATGAAAGATCCACCAGCCACGTCGTTTCAACTGCAACTTGGCGCCATGACCAGACGCGCTGGGGTCTTATGCGCGAACGACGAGTCGAGACTCGATGGCGCTAGCAATAGAATGGAATTGAGTATGACATCGCCTCCTTACTGCGGCAGGCGAGTCGTAGATGTGGTTTAGATGCAAGCAGAAAGGCCAGCAACAAGGTCTCTTGGTAGACCCTCTTCAGGCACGTCGTTCTGGCGCTGGTGTCCTCGTTGTCGTGTGCGACGCGGCGGTTAGTGCAATGACAGACGCCCTCGTTGCAGCCGAATCAACGCAAGAAAGATGGCCACTGGAGGGTATGAATGTACCGGTGTAGTCACGTTGGGATTTCGAGCGGGACCATCTCGACGAGCTATTTTCTTCCTCAACACTGTCGCTACAACACAGGCCCAGACGAGTGGACGCGCGAGAGGCTACATATAATGTTTGGTCTCCTCGGAAGATTCACGGACGCGGTTAGGCGCCTCTGCCGCTTTCCAGCATTTTCTGATGGGTTCACGGTGAGGTGCCAACGAGCCCCAGCCGCCTCTTCGAGTACACGTGCGATACCGTGTTGACACGTACTGGATCATGGCGAATCGGCCAAAAGCAAAAGAACAGAAATTGGCCACGCAGGTGATAAAATACGACGCTGGTTCCCTCGATGCCTTCATGCCTTGTAAGGTTGTGGCTAAGCAACACGGGTCTGGCTTGCGCCTGCGAAAGCCACGATGTAGCCCGTCCGTCCAACCAAACGAACCCTTCATACAAGCAAGGACAAACGTCACATTGCGTAATCTACCTCTGCTAGAGTACGTGTCAAGCGTGGTCGTCCTTGCTCTGTTGAACGGTGTTCCATCAACGGTTGGGTGTCCGATATGTTGGCTCACAGGACGAGTGCTCATCTTGGGCCGAAAGGTCCTGGCTGCAGGCGCAGCGGCGACGCATCTGCTCGCACCGTGTTGGCCAAGCGCATCCGAGAACTATTGTAGTGCGCTTTTGTTTGGCTCTTCTCGGTGGTTTTTCCTTGCTTGACGGCCGAGTCTTGGCGGGCACTGCGAATATAGGATGCCATCTCATGTTGACCGGGATGACGTTCCTGCTGTTATCAATGCACGACGCCGGCGTCAACAACGTACTTGTGGAGCCTTGCCTCCACCCACACCAATGCAATCGCATGAAGTCCTAGCAGCAGCATTAGTGCCAAAGCGGTCTTGCTTTCGTGACGCGCAACACAACAGCACATGGGTATTAGCCCCAGAGCTATTAGACGAGGCCGGCCCATCAAGATGTCGAATTTTGTAGTAAATAGAGCCACTTAGTCGTCGTCGCGCGCCGCGAGGAGCCCTGTTTCTTCCGTCTCCGTGTCGCTGCTGTCGCTGTCCGTGTCGTCGTCCTTGTTGCGCTTCTTGCCCTTCTTCTTGCCCTTCTTGCTCTTCTTCTTCTTCTTGTCATCGGTGCTGACAACAGCGTACGTGGGGCCGCCAAAGAGCCGTCCGAGCACGGTGGGCAGTCGATCGCAGCGGCAACAGCAGCGGTACCACCAGCTCTCCGACTCGGGCTCGTCCTCGGGCCACTCTTCGTACTTTTCACGCATCTCGCTCACGGCGACGCGGGCGCTGAGTTCGGGCAGCTTGAGGATCTCGATGACATCATCGCGCAGGATCGGCGTCGCGTACAGATCGAGCGTGTAGCGGGCGATGGGCACCGCGCCGCCTGTGCCGTAGAGCTCGGCGTAGATCGCATACACGCGCGGGTTGACGCAGCGGTAGTGCTTGGTCACTTGGAGGTCCTTGCGAAAGTCGTTGGACGTCGAGTAGAACGACTGGTTGGAGATCGGACCTGGCAGCGGCCCGTCGTGCAAGACAAAGTTCATCCACATCTCCATCCACGACGTCTCAATGAAGAACCACGCCTCCTTGTACTTGAGCGTCGTCGAGTCGTGCTTGAGCACGAGGTCGCGCTCGAGGCGCCGCCGGAGCTCCATGTCCACGCGGACGCCGGTCGAGTGCTGGTTGGGCGCACCCGAGAGGCCAAGCTCGGCCATCTCGATCTCCATGTCCTCTCTGTCTTGCTCCATGTCCACCGAGTGGCGGCGACGCTGCGGCTCCATCATGCGTCGACAAGCGGCTCACAATCTGGCACCCTGCCTTGGCCAGGACACTCTCTTAAGTGCGCCTCTTTCCATACACAAGGCAAGATATTCTTCGTTGTTGAAGATCGACATGCCCTCGCCAGGCTAAACACACGCACATTTGATCCCGCGTCGCTGTGCTGGGCGGAACACCGTACTTTTTATCAAGCCAGCTAGTGCAATGGTCTATATGACTGCTTATAGACCCTTGGCAAGGGGAAGAGCTGTGTTTAGGCATGCAACACGATCGTGGCGCCGTGATCTCAGACGTCTAGGTGGTGTGTTTTTAGTCTCTGGCAGCCTCGCTTCGAACAACAACGGATGTACTCTGTTAAGTGCGCTATGACGATCCCACCAATCACAACGCCAGAATGATTTTCGTTAATTCTGATTGGGCATACCGTGTTCCTTCTTTTGGGCCAATGAAACAGTGAGCACCAATTGACCACCAACCCATCCTCGCCATGGCCAGCCCGTCCCGTGTCGACCAGCCGACGCCGGCGATCACGTCGACGCCGACGCAGCTCGAAGAGAGTACGACGCCGTTCGTGGAAGACGACGACGATGACGACGACGAAGACCTCGAAGGCGACGCCGAGATCGAGCTCGGCTTTGTCAGCGACATTGTGGCGGGCGAAGAGCACTTGGCCGGACCGTTTGTCAACTGGGACGGCGGCAAAGTCGGCGGCCAGCCCACGTGGCTGGACCCTACCGTGCAGCTCGATGTGCCATGCGTGTGCGAGATCAACATGAGCTTCCTTCTGCAGATCTACTGCCCGTTGGACGCACCGGCATCGGCGTTCCATCGTAGCCTCTACGTCTTCTGCTGTCGCACTAAGGGCTGCCCCAAGCTTGGCCAGTACGCTTCTTGACCATCATACGACGAATGACACTCATGTCATCGCCTGTAGCGCCCGCGCGTTCCGCGTGCAGCTGCCCCGCGAGAACGCGTACTACTCGGACAAGGAAGACGATGCGTGGCGCAATCCGGTGGCACCTGTCAAGCGCTGCGTTATCTGCGGCCTCAACGGCAAGTTTGCCTGCAGCGCGTGCCACATTGCACAGTACTGCTCCAAGGCGCATCAGAAAGACCACTGGAAGCACGGCCACAAGACCGACTGCGCCGCCTGGTACAACAGCGTCGACGTCCTCCTGCCATCAACTAACGAGCGTGTTAGCGCCCAGCAGCAAACGCTGGTCATCTCGGACGCAGCGGCGATGGACGACGACGGCAGCGCCTTTGTGTTTCCCCAATATGCGATCCATATCGAACAAGAGCCCGATCGCACGCTCGCTCAGAACGAGTCGGAGGCCAAGATGATGCACGCGTACGAGCAAGGTAGACATGTCTCTTTCTCTGCAGTCCCGCAACTAAGTGTCATGCACAGCCCACCTGCAACCCCGTGGCAGCGGCGACGATGTGTTTACGGACGACTCGGAGATCGACTTGTCGCAGAAGGACTTGGCGTCGATGCTCGGAACGACGACGCAGGACAAGACGTACGTCGGGTTCCTCACGCGCGTCGCGCTCGCCAACGACCAAGTGCTGCGCTACTGCCGCTGGGACGACGATGAGCCCGTGCTGTGGGTGCACTCGGAAGGCAAGGCGACTGACATTCCGCGCTGCCGCGTCTGCAACGAGCGTCGACGCTTTGAGTTTCAAATCATGCCCCAGCTGCTCTACCACCTCAAGGTCTCGGGCGACCTCGACTCGCTCCAGAACGGCGCCGTTGACTTGGACTGGGGCACGCTCGCCGTGTACACGTGCCCCAACAGCTGCAGTCTCCACCAAGCAACGACCAACGCCGACGTTGTCGAAGAGTTTGTGTGGCGGCAGCCGCCGCACGAGCAGCACCAGGCGCCGCAGTAGTCCACGACGAGATCGATGGTACCTTTGAACCAGCAACGTCTTTGCGTTTGTTTCTGCGACTTTGGTTTCAATGCGGAACACACTTATGAGATAGACAGCTAGATCGATCGATCCATAGATAGATAGATAGATAGATAGATAGATAGATAGATAGATAGATAGATGCTGCGCAGTTGCTACGGGACCACTTGACCCGACAAGAATTCTTCGGATCACTGATTTCCGGCACGTCGACCACGCCGTCGCTTGCTGGTCGGCACTTCAGTCCCAAGGGCCCATCGACTTTTAGGCCTTCTAACCTCCGAGCTTGAAGGTTTGCAATTTGCGCAAACTCGAAACAGAGTCGTGGAGAGAGATCGGCGGTGGTTGTAACCGGACGGTTACGTCAACCCCCGCAACGACAAGGTGTATTTTTGAAAGCGTGGTCCTTCACGATGTCGTCGATCCGCGTCCGCGCGACCAACAAGGTCATGCGATCGCACGACTCCTCGCTGGCGCTCACGCTGCGTAGCTCATGGCCAAGCTCGGCGCGACCAAGCCGAGCAAGAACACGCAGTTTGACATGGCCCACGCCGGCTTTGAGGAGCTCCAGTCGGGTGTCGTCAACCTCGACAACGCGTTGCAAGGCTTCATCCTCTCGCTCAAAGGTGCATGCATTGCGTAGCAGTATATTCTCATCTGCCTCGCAGGTTTCCATGCGTCGGCCAACGTGCTCTTACGCGCGGTCGAAGACGTGGCCAGCGTGCGCGGCTCGGGTGCGCAGCGCGTGCATCGCACGTCGTCTCACACTCTCTAGACAATGCGGGCGCGGCGCCCGAGGTGCGGCAGTTCATCGAGGTCTTCAAAGCGTGCTCGCTGAGCATCGACATCTCCAAGCTCAATGAACTCGTACGGAAATCGTGACGATATCGCATGCGATGCGGCGTGTAGGTCAAGACGTTTGAGACGCGCGTGCAAAAGCCGTCGCAAGGCTGGCTGCACCAGGTCGCGCATCTCAAGACAGAGATCGAGGACTTTAACGAGAGCCACATTACGTTCGACCACTACACGAAGAAAGTGCAGACGCTGCGGGATGCGCACAACAAGCGGGCGGGCGCGGGCAAGCAGGAGAAGAGCAAGGACGTCGACAAGCTCCACCGCGTACACCCATCTCTCCTCTTGTATCTCGATGCCTAGTCGTGCTATCGGTTAGAACGAACAAAAGCTTGTGAGCATCTCGACCAACTACAACAAGACATCCGAGAAAACGGTCCAGGACCTCCGCACGTTTCTGCACAACCGCGACGCGACCTTGCTGCCGCTCGTCCAGCGCGTACGACGACGACGACGACGACGACGACAACGATTATTCTAAACGGTCGATGGCGTAGATCATTGAGTTTCGCCTCGCGCACGCCAAGGACATGTACGACTTGACGGCCAAGATGGAACCACTTCTGCACATCTCGAGCTTCAACGAGCACCTCGCGCGCCTCGAGTCGTTTGCACCGAGCGGCCATGACAGCGCGATACCGCCGGCGACCCGCGCCGACGACGAGCCCGACGTGACCGTGACCACGTTGAGCTTTAGTGATTTCGTTGGACCGACGAGTGCGTCACCGGCACCGGCGTCCCCGACGGCGCCCACCGCCGATTTTTCCAGGCGCCAGCGCCGCAACCCGGCAGCGTCAACGCGCCTCCAATGTCGACGGGAAGCTCGTGGCAAGACTTTAACGCGCCGTCGTCATCGCCGGCGTTCGAGGCGTCGTTTGCATCGGCGTCCGGGCAACACATTACGACGAGCACCGTCGCCGGGAGTCGCACGAGCTTCAACTCGACGACGACCGCGGCGCGCACCGGTAGCATCAAGGCCGACGGCGGGTTTCCAGCCTTCCACGCATCGGAAGAAACGACGTTCAACCCGTTTGCGGCAACACCACCGCCGGCGTTCGGTGATGCGCCACCGATGAATCCGTTTGCAGCGACGGCGTTTCCGCCGCCGCCGCCGCCGACGACGACGACGCAAGATTCGTTCAACTTTATGCAGTAGCAGCCACTTCTTCCACGTGGCTTCTCCATACATACCATGCATGTGCAGACAAAAGAGCTCGATGAGGATCAAATAACACATCTTCTTAAAGTGTGGTGCGAACGAGGTTGATGGCACCTGCGTCGTTGCCGACAATGAGGCACGGGCGCAGCGTCAAGTGTGCCATGGCCTGCACGCTCCACTTGGGCGTCCGGAGCTTCCCGTCGCGCTGCTTCTCGAAGAGGGTCTCGAGCTCGAGGCGACTGCGACGTCGCACCACGTCGGTCATGGCAAGCGTCGCCATGCGAATGCCCGAGGCAACGACGAGACGATCGGCGTCCGCGGTCACCACGGTGTGGTCCAACGTCGTGTCGGGCCAGTTGGCGACCGTCGCCGTCGTTGTCCACGACGTCGCGTCCCAAAGGTGTGCGATGCGATCCGCGCCGATGCTCCAGAGGCGGTGCGGCGGTCCGTGCTGGAGCTTGAGCACCCTTCCGTCGTGGGCACTCCACGTCCGGAGGACGGCGCCGGTGCAAGCGTCCAGCACACAAAGATGTCCTGATGTACCGCCGAGCACGAGGATCGGGCTGGTGTCGTCAGTCGTGGCGGCCACGGCAGAGAGCGCTCCAAGGACGCGGGGCGCGCTCCAAACGATCGGTGCGTTGCCGCTTGTCGGGCGCAAAATGTGCAATGTGAGTGGCTCTTGAACGACGACAATCGACGCATGCATGACAATGGGCGGGCACACGATCGGCGACGGAAAGGTCATTTGCCATTTGCACTGCAGCGTCGGCGCCTGGTACAAGAAAACGTTGAGGCGGTCGCTCACGACAAAGTGGTGGAGAAGAGTTGGCATCGGCACAACGCCCGTGACGGGCGCCGCGTGCACACTCCACTGCCCGAGGCTGTGCATGTCGCTGAGCCGCCAGAGCTTGCACGAGCCGCCGGCGCTCGCACTCACGAGCCACCGGTCGTCGTCCAGTACCGTGAGAACCTTGATGCTCGCATTGTGGGCGTTGAGCACATATGGTGCTTCCCAAAACGCACTCGATGGCTTCTGCGTCCACTTGCGGCTGTGGCGCTTGGGCTTGGGCACGGAGATGCTTCGCTGCCACGTTGTTTGCACGGCGTCCTGAAGCTTCCGAGGCAACAAAAGGTCGAGGGTCAAGTGCACGTCCTCGTAGAGCAATGACGGAAGCGGCTCGACTGGCGGCCACGCACCGACACCGAGGTACCAGCTCTCGAGGGCCGGAAACGGCGCCAAGTGCGTCGACGGACAGTGCATCGAGAGGACACACGCCTGAAGCGATGGCTGCAAGCTTTGCTTCGTGAGCGTTGGGCCGACCTTCTCGCTCAGGGCAAGCACGAGCTCGACGAGGCCCGTCCACGCCAGGAGCGGCGGCAGTTGATGCGACACGCGCTCGAGGAGGGCAACCACAGCGTGCACCGAGGCGGTCAAGTCGCGCACCAGATCGAGCAGTGCGCGCAGTAGGCGGGACACGACGACAACTTCGTATTGCAGCTCCACGTGCGCCTAGCCACTCCTTTTGTTTTAGTGCAGAGAGAAAGGCACTGTACCTTGGTTGGCTCGCGCTGAATCGCGCCAAGATGGGCCCCAAGGAGGTCGTAGAGCGTCGGCAGAAGCACCGTCGAGACGACAAAGTCCCCGAGCTCGCACGCGATGCGAAGGACGCCCATGGACGTCGTGTGCGGTGGGTGCCGTCGGTGCCAAAACACGTCAGCATCTTGCTTGCAACTCCCGACTTTGGGCCTGCAAAGGGCGTGTAGCATCTTGGGCAACACATTCTGCTCGGCCAAGGTCGTGCCAAGCATGTGGCTCGAGGCGAGCTGGGCCTAACACACAAAAAAGCATCAACGTCTGCCAACGGGACGTCGTTGGACGGACAAGGGCAAAGCCGGCGACCAAGCGCACGTGGAGGCTACCATGCAACCACCACTCGAGGAGCACGGGCACCATGTGTGTGAGGAGAAAGCTTGAGCCCCACGAGTGCCAGAGCAGCCAGAGGAGTCCGTCCGGCGCCGTTGAAAGAAGCAAAATGCGCGCGCAGTCGTCGACGCACCCTTCGTAGAGCCTGACGACACGAGCTTCGTACCGTACACACGACGTCTCTTTGCCGAGCTTGGCGACAAGCGTCGGAAAGACGTCTGCGGCCGTGATTGCGTCGCCCAAAAGCGGCGCCAGCAGCGGCTCCAGGAGCGAAAAGAACGGCGTCGGCACCCGCATCGCCAACTCGATGCGTGCTGCCATGTGCTCGGACGTTGGCGGTGCCTGTAGCGCGTCGTAAATGGCTGAAAACGACGGCGCGAATAGCGCCCGGGGTCGGCGTGCCATGCGGTATACAGCATCCGTCCCGTGCATCTACATACAGGGGCCGATCGCTGCTGCGTTCGCACTGACCGAAGGCGCACCTCGCCTTCCAGAATGTTTTGAACAAAGTTGCCGTGGGGACACGCCGGGTCGAGTAGCGAGAGCACGAGGGCCTAAGGTGCGTAGTACATTGCAGCACAGCATCGATCGGTCTGTACCTGCATCACGGGCGGCAGCTGGCGCAGCGCTGGCAACAGCAATAAGATCGCCGAGGCCGTCGCTGATTGGGATAGGCTACGCAGCGTCCTGTACGCCTCGTACGATGGCGGCGTGAAGAGTGCGTGGCTCAAGCACACCTCGGCGGCCAAGCACGCGAGGCGAACCGGCGCCGCCGCGTTGCTCGGGTAGCTCGGGCGCAAGCGGGCTTCGTACCGAGTCCACGTCGACGTATCGCATGCACCAAGGATGGCTTCATCACGCATGAGGATCGGCGGCTGCAGTGCCCAGAGCCGCACGTCGTCCGACACATCGGACGTTTCTTCGTGCACGACGGTATCGTCGTCGTCCAACGCCTCGAGCTGCTTGATCCACGAAAAGCTCGTACTATCCCGTTGCGAGCGCAGACTCATCGACGGCGACGAGGGCAGTGCGCCGATGGACGCCGACGGCTGGCCTCGGCGGCCAATGGACGACGCACTGAGCGAGTCGGACGCCTTGCGCAGCGATGTCGACTTGGTCATGGTGGCGAGCACATAGGCGTCGTGGGTAAACTGGCTCAAGGATACCGGGTTTGGCTCGCGATTCGTGGTGGCGTCTGTCGTTGCAGGCAGTTGCCGCGGCGGGTGCGGCTCTGAAAAGAGCTGTACAAAGCCGCGCAATGGCACGTTCTTGTGTGCGATCGCCAAGTCGCCTGCGAGACCGGCGCCAAAATTCAAGTCGATCCACGTGTGGAGCTGGCGCGAGACGTGCGGGCTCTCGAGGGCGGCGCGGTGGCACTGCAAAAACGCCTCGGGCGTCATCCCATGGAGGTCGAGCGACGGCATGTTGTCATGCGTCGACGTAAAGATCGACGCGTCCAGAAAGAACTCGGGAATGCACTCTTCGGGCGACCATGCGTACAGGCGCGCCATCGTCAAGGGATACTCTTTGGCTTCAAAGCGCGCGCGCACAATCGACTGCAGCAGTGGCCGTGGCAGACGCCGTGCGAGGTAGATCGCGACCGTGAGATCCGACAAGCTACCGCCGGTGATAGAAGCCATTGGAACCGACCATCGAACTTACTTTTCAGGGATATGGTGGCCCGTGTGCGCGTACGTCTGATCGAGCTGCGCATCGCCCTTCATGAGCCGAAACTTGGACTTGGTCAAGTCGCGATGATGGCCGTTAAAGTCGAGAACCCATGGCAGCACGGGGTGCACGCGGCGGTGACTCTACCAAACGCCATGGGCTCTCTATTCGACGAGGATACATATGCATGTATCGTGCCATGGAACGGCCGGCGGCGTGGTTGAGTGCCAAGAGGTACTCGAGGTTGGAGACGTCGCCGACGCGCCACCGCTCGAGGAGCGACCGTGCGTCCATGTCCTCGACCGTGCGCGACGGATGCAATGGGAAAAAGAGCAGTTGCGTCGAGTCGGTCACGTCAATCCACTCGGGGTCGATAGAAGGCAGGGCGTGGAACGTCTGGAAACCGCGCACGAGCTGGTACAAAAGAAAGCGCTGGTGCGCGTCACGTGCTTCTTCCAGCGATGCCTATCGTATGCGGACATGGGCGAAAGCAAGATGATGATGAAGTGCGTACCTGGCGCAGGGTGAGGACGTGCGCGCGTAGCGACGTCGCTGCGTACGGCAAGACGAGATAGACGGACGTCGGCGACTCGAACGCGCCGAGAAGTGGAATCAAGTTGCGCTGGCGTGGAGAAAAGGCCGAGAGCTGCTCGGCCCACGCATGGGTGGCCGGCGCCATGGCCACGTTGCAGTAGAACAGGCCCAGGTACGCTTGCAGCGAATGGCAGGTCCGTGACGGCGCGACCTGGATAGCGCCGTCGTCACGCGCGATGCATAGCACCTTTTCAAGACTGCGCTCGAGATTGCAGTCGGCTGTCGTGGATCGCGGCTCGGATGCGTCGAGCGGCGGCAAGACGACCGTCGCCTTGTCCAGCACCAAGACGCGGTGGTCCGCGCCATCGGGCGTCGCGACGCAGATGCCAACGATGCCAACGTCGTCTTCGTTGAGGTACGTCTGGCCGGCCGCCGGGAAGCAGCAGGTGATACCGAGCTCAGCGGCAATCCGCGCTCGTCGGTCATCCCACCGCATCACCGCTGAAAATGGATCGGCTACCCGCTATTGGTACATGTTTAAAACGCGTTTTAAACAGGATTCCAAACGACATGTCTTTTGTGTTTAAAACGACGTGCAGCTTGATCGTTATACCGCAACAAGATCGCACGCTTAGAAGGTAGCTCAGCATGATGCAAGTTGTTTTAGTTTAGCTTTATCAGAGGGCGCATGTGCAACAAGCTGACCAACGCATGTCCCTCCTTCATGCCGGCGCCGACGAAGACGTTGACGACATGACTAGCGAAGCGTCGTGAACGTCTGCGCGCACTCGGCGGCGCGACCCATGGCGAGGACGCGGAAGGCCGAGAGACACGCGGCGAGGTACCCGAGGAGCGTGCCCATTGTGATGTCGATCGTGTGGTGCTGCCAGTCGGTGACGCGGCTCACCGCAACGGCCATCGCAAGGCCCAGCGGCAGGAGTGCCGGAAAGAAGAGCGCTTGGCGGCACCACGCCATGGCCCGCGGCGTCGCGTTCGCGGGCGGGTCGCGGCAGTAGAGCGTCCAGAGGAGGTAGATCTACGAACCAGGGTAAATCGCCCGTATTTCATCGTGGGCCACCATTGCAGCCGTACGTACCGTCGTGTAGAGCGCGGTCGCGGCCGTCGTTGCCGTGTGGCCCGAAGGAAATGAGATCATGGACGCCTCGTACGTGCTGCGGGGCGTCGTGCACGTATACGTCTTGTTGTCGGCGGACAGGACCGGCGCGCAGACCGCGGCAAAGTTGGGGCGCAGCGCACCGACGTTGAACTTGATGAGGTTCGCCGCCGCGATCGTGAGGAGGACAGCCTCGAGGCACCCCAGCGAGAGGTTGACGAGGCGCACGTAGAACTCCCGCCGGTTGGCACCGGTGCGGTGGAGGCCAAACTCGACGGCGAGGACGACGACGAGCCAAAAGATCGCCGACGCCACGCACGCCATGACGTACGAGATGGTGCTGTGCTGGTGCGGGTGCGACGTCGCTTCGCCTACACGAACGATGCAGCATGAGTCGACCGACGACGGTTCCTCATGGACGCACTGATCGTCGGGTTGTACGTGTCGAGGTACCGATACGACGGCGACGTCAAGAGTCCCCATGTGACGGCCGCGACCCAAAAGACAAAAGTCATTAAAGGCGAGACCCATTGCACCTCGATCCAGAGGCTGCGCTCGGCCACGACAACGTCACCCATCGTGCGTTTGCGGCAAAGTCAAAAATGGCTGCCAAGCGACCAGTCGGCCAAACGACCAGTTGATTGCTCTCTTGGAGTGGGACTCGAAATTTCACATCCCAGCACGCAGCCGACGTGGAATTGTTCAACGCGCTCATGGGTATGCGGCAGCAGTCTTGCATCTATACCGTATATGGTATACTATTAAAACGAGCAGCTACTGCGTGCCTGTGCTACCTAGAGCAGCTCTACTGCCGTCCTCTCGGATGTACTAGCACCCACAGCCAAGTGTCAAGACATGCGATCCCGAGCCAGACCCCGGGCACATGAAGCGAAATCGACAGGGCGCAGCAGATTCTGGAGCGCATGGCTCTAATAGATGATGATGCGGCGACGAGCTTAGAAACCCACGTGACGGCCAGTGGGCTCCTCAAATAGCGCCGACTTTACCCTTGTCGGAACTTCAATCTATCAAGCAAAGTATCAATCGGCCTCCAAGAAGAAAGCGAGTTCTTGTCTGCACACCGCCACGAACCTCTGTACACGAGAATAGGTCACCTTAGGCTTGGCTAGTACGAGGCGCTAAATGCGACGCAGTGTGCCACGTACAAGCAACCTATCCTAGCATGCCGCCGCAAACATCCATAAAACCCGTGCACTAATCACCGTCTATTGGACTATATTAAATACATCCGACTCGTAAACTCTAGTGCTCTCACTCAAAGCAAAGGACGTCGGCGTCGAGCGTGATGGATCCGGAGGTAAACACCGCGCCTCGATAGTCTAGCGCGAATGCTGTCTCGCTCATCTCAATCTCGAACGACACGACGGCACCGGCGTCGAGCTCGTAAGGACGGGGTGGCATCGGTGTTTCGTCGGTGCGGACCAAGGTTTCGGTCGCGGCGACCCCACGTCTCGGTGCCGGGGGGTGTTGTAACGTTGGACGACGGTGGTAGATGCACTTGGCGCGGGTGCAGACGCGAACGCCACCGTGGCGAACACAGTCAATTCGGGGTCCGCTGGGCGCGTGGTGAGCACACGCCACGTCTCTGTACGTTCGGGCGCCGCAGTTCGGTACCGCGCATCGATGGTGCGGCCGGTGGCTCGATACGGCGTGCGGGCACGGCGGCACGCTGCACCGGCGTCGGTGGCGATGTGCGTTGCACGCACGGGACCCTTCCGTTGGCATCGTCTCGCAACCATGCACAAAGCAAGCATGCATCGTGAGTTGACTGGGGCGTCGAAAATATAGAATGCCGACCGAATAAAGTGTCTCGCTTGTCGAGCCTCTAGCGGTCGTTTGATGGCGCGTGATGCGCATGCGTCAGTAGTCACGGCACAAGCGAGACACACCGATCACGCGCTCGTGACTCACAAGCTTCTCGGGTCAAAGACACGGCGGCGCCGCACCGTCTTACAAAAACGGTAGCTATCAAGACGGTGGACCCAGTCGCATGGGATGGGTGCTTCGCGACAGCCCGTGCCCGTGGACCGAACAACGTGCTGGTACTCGCTTGATTTTGCAAACGTGGCGCCTCGTGCTGCCACGTACGCGCCGTAATGGCGCGACACCGCCGCCCGCATCAAGCAGGTGCAGCACCGAACGTTCCAATCACCTTCGGCAAAACTCCTGATTCGTGGCCCCCCAAAGCCGGCGCTTCTACTAGTACGCGATCCAGTGGCATGCACACAGAGCAGCTCACAGTTCGCACGAGTACCGGTATACTAGTACGAGCTTTGCACGTCACACCAAAAAAGTGAGCCATGCGTCGGTGACTACATATGAAATAATAGCGTAGAGCCAGGTGTTGAGGTTTTGGGAGCTGGCGTCGAGTCCGGGTCAGAGTCCTGGTGGCCGAGTCCTGCCTTTGACATCGAGTGTCAAAACACACGTACCACACGGTGTGTTTTGCTTTTCTCACGTCGCCGCCGAGTTTGGATTTCACACGTCGTCGGGGTTTCAAAAACATCCGGATACGGAAGCGCGGGCGGTTTTGCAATGTCGAAAGGCCGTGGGGTATCTTTGAATTTGCCGCGGGAACCGAGCGCGATGCTGCCGCGACGGAGCAGTCACGTGCAGCCTGCAGCGCCGATGCCGAGTATGTCGCACCGCAATAGCATCATGACACCGCCGACGCCCGGACGAAAGAAGCGACCGGCGCCGCCGTCTTCGGAAGTTACGACGTTGCCGTTGCTCGACACGGCGACGCGCGCGGAAACAGCACCGATGGGTGCCAGCCACTCGACCGCATGGCCGTCGCCACGCCACGACATGGAGTCCAAAATCGACAACAAGGCGGGGCTGCTGAGCCTCGAGAAGAGCCTCGAGCTCTTGGACAAGATTCTCATCGATGGTGGGCCGCCGCCATCGACTGGTCTTCAGTCTCTAGCGCCGTCGACAATAACGCCCGCGCCACCGTCGACAACCAAGCTTGAGGCTGTGAGTCCGGCCCGGCGCGGACCGTCACCCTACGTGACGTTCACCAACCCGCAGCGCGAAGACTTGTACGAAACAATCGCGATGCTCAAGAAAGAGCTCACCAACGAACGCGCTGCCCGGCGCCTCGACACGGCGCCGAGGTACTTAACTGCATATGCATAATTCACCTCACGTCTCTTTGTAGTACGTACACGGACGCTGGGGACGAGTACTTTGCGGCACTCGGGCGCAACGCCGAGCTGCACGTCCGGGCGCGGAAGCTCGAGTCGGCAGCGCAGCTCATGAAGTCGGACCTCGAGGTGACCAAAGCGGAGCAAAAGCGAGCGCTCGACTCGGTCAATTTGCGCGAAGAGAAGCTGCGCAACCTCATCAAGAAGAATAAGTGCTTGATGACAGAGTACGAAGTCCTCAAGGACCAGTACGTCGAGACCAAAGTCAAGAGCGTCGAAGTCTACCGCACGATGCAACTCGAGCAGAAAAGATGGAACTCGCGGCCCACGAGGTTTGATTCGGCGACCAAGTACACGCTGACCGTCGTCTCAAAATGCCCGTAGATGCTCCAGGAGAAGCTGCAGCTGCAGCACCAAGTAGCAGTGCTTCGTACCGAGTTGAAAGACCTCCAAAAAACGTCGGTGGCCGAGAAATCAGCACTGCAGACAACGCTAAACGACGCTCAAGCCGAGCGCGACCGCCTCGTGCTGTGCCTCGCTGAGACGCGCCATCATTTTAAGCAGTGGAAAGACCGCGAGGGCAAACTCGTGGCCGCCGCACGGAACGACGCCCGGGACCTTGCGCACGCCGAGGCGTCGGTGCGCATCGAGCGGTGCCACGACGAGATTCGACTGCTCCGAGACAAGGTGAACCAGCTGGAGCAGACCAACCAGGTGCTGCGAAAGGAGCCGGCGCTTTCGCCAATGGAGCTCGCGTACCGCAAGCAGCAGTTGCACGCGGACATGACGACGCAACACGCTGATCTCATTGCTCTACAGAGCCGTGTGCAGGAGCTGGAGAAAATGCTAGCCTTTCCAAGGCTCAGCAAGAGTATCAAGGCGAGATGCTTACCGCCGCCCAGGAAACAGTGTCCCAGGTGCTCCACGCGCGCGAAGTCTCGGCGCTTGAGCAGCTTACCTATATGAACCCACCGCGAGCACCGAAGCCCCCATCATCCGACGGCACCGAGTCGCCGCTCCCACCTGAGTCTGTAGCGACACCACCGACGGGTGTCGAGAAGCCCCGGGCGCCACCGGCCACCGCGCCGTCGCCACGCGTCCAGACGCAGCGTCGTAAAGGGTCGTACAAGGAATCAGCACCGAACCAGAAGCGCCCGACGCCGCCGCCACAAGTCGAAACCAACACAACCGTCGCGACGTGGAAGATGGAAGTCCGCAACCTCACGGAGCAAGTCGACGAGTACAAGACGATGGTTGTCGCTCTCTCGCACGAAATCGAAAAGCTCAAGGCCGAGCGGAAGCGACTCACGGCGCAAAAGCAGTCGGACACCGAGCGCAAGTACGAAGCTGCACTCAGCGAGCTCCGGTCGCAGCTCGAAACGAGTCGCGCGACCGAGACGCAGGTCCGTGATCTCTTGGCGTCCATGCGAGCGACGCAAGAGGCCAAGTCGGCGGGCACGATTCAGAGGCACTTGCGGATGCTTCACGCCAAGGCGACACTCAAAAGCAAGCTCAAAGCAACGCGCGCGATCCAAGCCTGCTACAAGGGCCACAAGCTGCGCCAGACGACAAACCTCCAAAAACGACATGCGAGGCGAGTCGGGATCGTCTGCGCGACGCCGGCAACGCTCCCGTTATCTCGACGCCCGACATGGACATGTACATATCCGTGCTCTCGGTGCCACCGTGCGTCAAGGTCCAAGTCTGGGCCGACGACATTATCTACGCCAAGTACATTCCCGTGCGACTTCTGGGACTCTACGTTGCCCACGGCGTCAGCTGGGCGCGCAACGACGTGCCCCGGCTCCAGAAGGCGCTCGCGGCGCAAGTTTCGCTCGTACCGGACGAGGACGACGCGCAGCAAATCCATGTGGCGGAGCTGCAGCGCGTCCACGGCCAACCCGCAACCCACGTCAAGGCGATTACAAAGATCCAGTCGCGCGCTAAAGGCTACCTGACGCGCAAGTCGCTCCAGCAGACGCTGATCGAGCAGGTGGACACGGTTCGTCGTGTGCAGGCGCTCGTGCGTGGCTTCCTCGCGCGTCGCCAGTGTGCTGCGCAGCAGCGCGCGCTGATTGCGATCCAAGCTGCGGCGCGCGGGTACTTTGCTCGGCGATCCGTGCGCCTGCAGCAACAAGCCATTGAAAAAATCCAGGCCATCATCAAAGGTATGCTCACGCGGCAGGAGCTGGAGAAGCAGCGCGCATCAGCGATCGTACTTCAAAAGCAAGCCAAAGGCTTCGTCGTTCGCCAGTCGCTCGAGCGCCGACGCACTGCGGCCGTGGTCATTCAGACGCGCACGCGAGGCCATTTAAAGAAGAAGGAGTACACGTCGCACCGCGCTCGAACAAAGGCGGCAACTGCAATTCAAGCCCGGGCCAAGGGTTTCGTGACGCGGCGAACCTTGGAAACGACTCACGACGCCGCGGCCACCATCCAGCGTCATGCGCGTGGCTTTGTCGTCCGGCAAGAGCTACGCACGCGGCAAGCAAGTGCTGTCGTCATCCAGAGCCATGTGCGCAGTCTTTTCGCCAAACAGACGTACGCAGCAGCGATTGTTGCCGTCACCAAGATCCAAGCGGGTGCTCGTGGTTTTGGTGCGCGACGACACATCTCGTTTCGGCCGATACCGTTCTACCCTTCGTTCGACGACGACGCTCAAGACGAGCACCGTTGGGCGCGTGCATGGAACAAGCGCAAGTCGGTGGCGTTCCGAATACGCTGCGTTGACGCCCCGAAGTGCGTCAAGATTGAGGCCGTGCTGGACGGCGTCATCTACAGCGCGTTCGTGAAGTACCCGCGCCTCCATCGCTACGTCGATGACGGTGCTCGACTGTTCCGTAACGATCCTGGTCGACTCAACGAGGCCTTGGAGCCGCTTTGCGTCTTGGAAGAAGTCGAGCCGTTCCTCTTTACGGTGGCTGTCGCTGAAATGGACACATCTCGCATCGTGTCGACGCCGTTACCAGCTCAACGCCCCACGCCAAAGTCGGTACCCAAGCCACCGCGCCCAGTGCCACGCGCAGCAGTGACAGTACCACCTGACTCCCAGGTCTACTTGTCAACAAAGTGGGTCGATGAGCCGTTGCCTCTAACCGACGACGTGGCGCGACCGCCACCGAGGCGCAAACCCTCACAGCCTCGCCAACACGAAAATGACGAGCCCGTTGCACAAACAGGAACGGTGTCTGCAGCTGCGTCCTTGCCTTCTGCCGACTGCATTGATCTTGCTCAAGACGCCAAAGGTCCTATGGCATGTCAAGGCAACATCACCGTACCTCCGTCATCGGATACCGCAGCACTGCCCAACAAAAGCCAATCGCAAGCAGTGTCATATCTGAATGCTGACAACGCCGCATCAACACAACGTCATGCAGCCCCGTCCCCAGCCAAAATGTGTGCTTCGACTTACGTCAGCGTTCTCATTCACGAGGCAACGACATACTTTGTTTCGCAACGCCGACCGTCCACCCCGCGTCGTATTTCCGTCGCAAACTCAAAAATCAACATCGCACACTCGATCGAAATAGCACCACCTCCCGAGACCGTCCCATATACGGTCGACGACACTCCGGCTACCATCATCATCCAAGTAGCAGCCAAGAAAGCATCAACCTTTCAAGCCGTCCAAGCTGTACCGCATTCACCAGCAAGAATATGTGCTTCCTCTTATGTCGGCGCTCTCCTCCGCGAGACAACGAAACACTTCATTCCCAAAGCGGCGCTGCCGTCGGACGTTGCTACGCCACTGCAAACGGATGAAGCCACCAAGATCGCGACTCCGGTGCAAGAAGCGCCAGCCGTCGAGGCCGTCCAAAATACGGTTGAAGAAGCGCCGGCCACCGACGTCGTCCACGATGCGGTTGAAGCAGCGCCTGCACCCGGAGCCGTCCAACTTGCGGTCGAAGAAGCACCAGTTGCTATAGCCGTACAAGACGTGGTCGACGAAGCGCCGGCTGCCAAAGCTGTCCAAGATGTTGCTCCGGTCGAAGATGCACCAGCTCCCAAAGCCGTCCAAGATGCGACTCTTGCCGACGTGTCGCCACCGGCAGACGCTGTCACGACGGCGCCAGCGGTCGTGGACAAAACCACGGCGACTGACAACTCGACAACTGCAGTAGTTGACGACGACTTGGCTCCGACTGAATCCAGCATCGACGTCGCCGACGAGGCCGAGACCCACAAAGCGGCGCTGCCGTCGGACGTTGCTACGCCACTGCAAACGGATGAAGCCACCAAGATCGCGACTCCGGTGCAAGAAGCGCCAGCCGTCGAGGCCGTCCAAAATACGGTTGAAGAAGCGCCGGCCACCGACGTCGTCCACGATGCGGTTGAAGCAGCGCCTGCACCCGGGGCCGTCCAACTTGCGGTCGAAGAAGCACCAGTTGCTATAGCCGTACAAGACGTGGTCGACGAAGCGCCGGCTGCCAAAGCTGTCCAAGATGTTGCTCCGGTCGAAGATGCACCAGCTCCCAAAGCCGTCCAAGATGCGACTCTTGCCGACGTGTCGCCACCGGCAGACGCTGTCACGACGGCGCCAGCGGTCGTGGACAAAACCACGGCGACTGACAACTCGACAAACTGCAGTAGTTGACGACGACTTGGCTCCGACTGAATCCAGCCATCGACGTCGC